CATCACGATGGCTACTGATTGCTACAGATAGGCCAACAAGCAGCAATTGCCCGCACACCAGAGTTCCTTTCGGTTGATAATTTCTGTTTATCAAATACTCACTTGCAAGATCCGAGTTTCATGCTTACTGTGCGATCCCCTACATGCGACAATGGCGGCACATTTTCAATGCGCCTGTCTGGTGATGCAGGTTCTAATGCCGGTAAATCTGACCTCGGCATTGTTTTGCGTTTCCCGGCTGAAGTTGCCCTGCTCGATTGAATCACGGTCAACAGTCGGATGTGCGCCATTAGGTTAGCTGGTTAATTCCATGATGCCAAGTCGCGCAATTACAACCGGTGCCCATTTGTCATGTAGTCCAACTCCCTACCAACTGCAACACTGATTCGGCGAAAGATGATTTCGTTAGCAAATTCACCATATCCTTCGTTAAAGGAGAAGCAAGGATACTATGGTTTTGGCTGGTGATGTAAACGCCCAAGTCGCCAAATTTCCTCTTATGATCTTCATCTGGGCGGCCAACGTGTTGTGGATTCTCTTAATGATAACAGTGAGTGATTGCTACAGCTGTGTGAAGATGCTCACATCTTTCTCGCGAGAACAAAATATTGACACAGCACCTGCAGAACCGTGACTTGGCGCCCATCAGCATCGTACCTGCTATGGACGGAGATCGATCATATCGGGATCGGTTAACGCTTGAGGGATTGCGTCCAAAACTGGTTTTCAATTAGGAGCACGAGCGTGGACTCTGACCATGCAGTTCTTTTCGCAGACCTCCGGGTGCATCTCGGTGGAAGTCCGACACGTCAATGTGAACCAGTAGACATCAACCAGCTGGCGAACCCAAGTGTACCGAATGTGTATCCAAGTGCACTGACATACGGGCTGAGCGAGGACCAACTGAACAACTTCGACGATCAGTGATCGTATATTCATCAAAACTTACTATCAGCGGGCATGCTTTTTATGTGGTAAATCAAATTATCTAACTGAATGTTAGGTCTCTACACAGTCTCTGGAACTTATGGATGCCCGCCGACGTATTCCGGCTGGAATAAAACACATTGTGGATCGCAGAAACCTCAGGGAAAAATTGCGTGCTATTATGAAGAAACACGGTGAAAACTGGTCGTTTCATGGTGCCTTGGAAATAGACACTACTCCTACCCTTAGTAATCAGTGAAATTTCCTCAATCTGATACTTGAAACAGGCAGCTGGAGACCTGCTTTCGGCGAGACCAAACTCGACGACAACGAGCAGCCTATGTACAGCCTGTCAAACCGCTTGAAGTGTTGAGTAGACCACTTTGCAATGCAATGTAATCAACCAAAATTATCGTTTTTGCTTTTCCGCGGGTTGAGCGCCCTTCTCCCTTGGCCGTCTCCTTGGATCCGTCTGGAGCGCTAAAGTCGGATGTGAGATTAGGCTGTTAAAATTTCTTAATTCCGCAGAGGCAGGTATAATTCCCAAGCCTACTTAAAATTCGAGGACTTGCCATCAGGTTATTTACATAATTTCGTGGGGAATTTTTGAAAGCTGGAGAGTCTGTCGTCATACTGGAGTTGCTCAGTCATTCTCCTATATTGCATGAACGCCCCCGTTCGGAATGCGACAATTATAAAGGGACCATACTGATCGCAATTTCTTCTCACTTGCTTTCGTCTATCTTTTTCTACAGACTGATTAGTACTCGGGAATGCCAGAACTGCGGTAAGTAAGGCGGGTTTTGTAGAGTTCGGGGCTCCAACGCTCAACTCTCCCATATGGCTGTTATACCTGGCCTTTAAGATCTACCGTCATTAAGACGCTCGTCACAATAGCACGTCGCTGCCTCCGCAGTTTGGCTCATGTCGTGTGGGAGCACCTGCTCGCTTAATGAGCATGTAGAGCGTCAATTATTGGTGTGGGAAGCGCTAGTGAAACATTCAGTAAAGTGGTATCACGCACAAGGCTCCGATGGCTGGTCCACATGTTGCAAATGCTAACACACCGACTCCCGCGAAGTACATCATTTGGGACCCGGGAGTGCGGTTGAAAGAGGGGGAGGGGAGGCCAAGCGATAATTTGGTCAAAAGGAAAGAAAACACACACTTTGAAACTGGCGTCGGTTAGTGCATCAAGACTGCCTGGTTGGGGTCCTAAAGACGATGAATACGTTGGATTGGGAACGCTTGTTTAGATGACAAACAACCGGCCCCAATGATTCTTGTGTTGGGAGTGCTTAGTACATTCCCCTCCCTTCTGGTTCCTCCTAAAATGCTGATCTCATACCTACGTATAATATAATATTTAGCGTCATATTTTTGAAATGTAACTTTTGTGATTCCTAGTGTACATTTTTAGTCTCTTTTACTCTTGTATGGCGGCATTTTAGTTGAAGTGTGTTTCCCAACCCCAGCTAGCGTGTACCGAGGACGATGAAGTTTGATTCACGGAAAGACATATACGCAGTTTGTTTGGGGTTTCTGCGTGTGCCCCCACCGATTCCGCTCTAATAATGCAAATGACGATTTCTGGGAAGAACAAAATGATCACTTATACTGTGTTACTATTAATGTTAGCAATATTGTGGAGAGTGACAAAACGCAAGTAAGTCTTCTGATGAATTCAGAAGCTTTGCTAAGGGGCAAGTAATGACTTAACTCCGAAAGGATGGACAACGTAGATCGACACTACTAGCTGTGTGCGAAGCACTAACTGCCTCTTGGTAGTACCGCTTTGAACATACTTGATGCCGAAGTGCCACTTGGCGTCTTCCTGTAGCTAGATATTTATAGGCCCAAGTAAAGCAAGTTAAAATTAGTTACTCTTGGCGTGGTTGCAACCCGGATGGTCGCTCTATCTGCGTCAACTATAATCATGCCTTCCTAAGCTGTCGTTTCGTCACGAACTTAGCGGGATGCGTACCAAGCGACCGCAAGATTGGCAACTGAGACGTTTACTCAGACCACAGTCAGGCAAAACCACCAAAATGCACCGCGTACCGAAATAGCTATTTTCCTAAACAGCACTGATGGACATCATTCCTTGGAGTAATGTGTCATACTGCTAAAAATGTTTGAGGCAATTTATTCTCTTTCAAATGAAACCCCGGAAGTTCTTTAGCTAGACTAACGCGGTGTGTGCAACGGAATTCATACTTAGCCAGGTGAATTATATCGTCATTTAATAGAAAGTTGCCGACTGGTAATGATGCATTATTATACCTAGTTGCGTACGTAGCAGTCGTCGAAACCACTCATAAAAAATTCAGTGCAAAACGCATTCAAACGAATGAGCCCATTCGTGAATCTGACTGACCAAAATGTAATGAAATCACATGTGTGTGGTAGCACACACTATTGCATATCAGTTAACTAATGTGTAATTGCATCAGTGTGAAATAGATTGAAATGAATTTATGAAATACCGACCTAAAGCTCAGGTGAAATTATAGCGGTCATAGGAAATAAATTTATGCCTAGACTGAAGAAAAATTTCTACTAAGAATCCGAAGCAACGCCATTGAAATTTTTTATACTTGCTGCAAGAAATAAAGCATTGTGTGGAGATACGAACGCTATAAGCTCAAAGTATAATTCGAGTGGACACAATTAAGGCTTTTTTATATTACAGTATGCTCACATAATTCCCCATCATATATATCGGTCGGCTGATCACATGGTTACATCAGGTCCAACGCTTTTGGAAGTGTCAACACGCCAATCCTAATAATTTGCCGTGTGCGAATAGTGTGCAGCCTGAAGGGCAACAAATCCGTAAATTGCTCCTATTCACACAGATAAACGGCAAATATTCTTCCTTGCTTCGTGATGACAGTGGCGTTTAAAAAGAGCAATATCTTACATTTTTATACATTAAGCTGCTTCCGATCCCTCGCAGATTTGTTAGATATATCAGGCGAACGACGTACTACTACGTAGCATCGCTCTAGCTGCTGAGTAATCATTGATTCCCCAAGGGTAATTAATGACCTCCATCGGTGATTATCGTCCCGATCCCTTTTACTCAATGCTTGTAAACGCCACAATGTAACTTCACCATGCACTGAGAAACGCTTGACCTTGGCAAACGTTTTTCGGCCTATGGGATCAAACGATCAAAACCATACAGAGTTCCTCCATAGGTAAAATGCCATGTTTATTCCAAAATCACTTTTGGTTAACATATATGGACGGGAAGATCCGAAGGGTGCAACGTCGACATTTTATATCTGAGAAGACAAATTCATTAACTTAATATTTAAGCTATGAATTCTTGAAGGCATATTTTCTTCCTTACTAGATTTGCTGGTCATCTAACCTTATTTACGCTTTCGCAAATCGACCGCGTTCATCTTGCTTTGATTGAGCACATTTCTAAGTCTCATGGACTGACCATGGAGTCTCTGATTGACTCATTCGTTAATATGCGTTTAGTGCATGTGTCAACATTTCATCAGTTTTAAAACGACAATTACCACCATGTTCATGTTATTTTTCCAAAAACTCTCCTCCATTCTTCTGCCATCTATAAATTTATGGTTTTGCATTTTGCGCACGGTCTCGTATAATTCATATATGTGAGCGTATATCGAGTATTCTTTTGGAGCCAAATATATTATTATCAACGTGAGTGATATTTTAACTTGAATGATATGCGTGCATTAATATTCTTTACTTCCGGTTTATAATTTCATTTCTATATTATGCCCAGTTGCATCCAGTGTTATTGACATAGATTGGAAAAGCTTCCATTCGGATGGTTAATCTATTTTGTTTATTATTTGCCTTGCCTCGGATATTCGCCCACTGCTGTTAGTAAATATACAATGCATGTTCAGCTTAAAATTTTCGCACATTAGAATGTGGTGTGCATTCCAATCCGGTAATAATGTAATTTGGTTTTTATGATGCAGTTTGCGTGGCTGTGTGACATTCTGCTTAGGTCGACAGCAAATCCTATATAACAAAAATTGATTTCAGTTAATGAACCACTAAATAAATTGTGCACTTGCTTCTCTTGAAAACGAGTTGCAGATGTCGGGTTCCCCTGCCTTGACTTCCACGACGGTGTCCACATCTTGGGAACGAAAAAGTACAACGCACATAGATGTAAATAACGTTCAAATGACTGATTACACACACCACCACGTCGAACTTGCAGCTAACTTTCACGTAAATAACACAAATCAAGGGACATATCAACACCAACAAATATAAATAGCTTGGTTTTCAGTGTTGGAAGCGCCAGAGAATTTTTCATGTGATATCGGATGGACAACCATTGATCTTAGCAACCAAAACAATGCAGACTCACGAAACTGCCCACTGTCACTTGCTGTCAAATGAGGGATCAGAATAAACAAGCTTGTCAGTAGAAATGCACATGGTTTTGCGTGGAATGTGTTAGTACGGTACATTGCTAGACACAGGCGAAGCGATATTAGCAAGTCATTTATTTAGCCTTCCCAAAATTGTGGTGGCAGGATAAGATCTGTTCGAACTTAAGAACATTTTCACCGGTCGCCTCTGTTATGCGTGGCAAGTGGCAGATCGCTGAATGCAACTGATAACATATATTTAGTCTAAGATTAAATATCATTAAGTGTTTTATCAACCAAAGAAAACTTACAGAGCTTCGGCGACCAATGCATTCCGACAACTTGAACCGTTATCTTTCTCTGATCGTAGAAAATATTTCTGAGGTATCTCACTGGGCCGATCCAATTTTCTGGATAATCCCATGTAACATTTTCAATGTTGTAGTGTACAATCACACAAAAATAAGTGTTATTTTTGTGTTGGTGTGGATCACAATGCACATGTGGCTGCGCGAAAACAGTGGGTGCTAGAGGAGGAAACTGGATGAGAGATTGGAATGGCTGATTGTGTTTCCGATGATAAATATCGGTGATTCAGGGTGAGATAAAAGAAAACGCCTTCAAAAGCACGCTCTCTGGTTAGAAAAGAGATAATTGTATAAACTTTAAAAGAGATTACTGGATGTTTGACGTCATACGAGTACAGAAAGTAGCAACGGTTTAACGCAAATACATGGCAAATAACGTAAGCTTTTAGGACGGGAAATAAAATATTAACACAGTGTAGATAAAAGAACTCGCAAAATACATGATCCACCAAGTTATTTGCGGTAGCACCAGTGTGGGTGTTCCCGCACAGTATATAAGACATTCCCTTGTTAACGACTGTTCCGCGATAATATAAACATCATCTGATAGTCAATGAGTATATAAGTTGGAACAAATGCATCCATTTGTCAGCAACTGATTGGCGGGAGCAACGATCACATACAATATGAAGGCGCTTCGGACTGTAACACTCGGAGGGAGTAAACACTTCGTCTACGTTCCAGTGCACTCTCCTTCGTGTTCAAATTATATGAGGATTACTCAGAGATTCATAATGCTTGAGTTTCGAAAGACATCTGCATGTGTCGCCTGGCCTATTTAGTAGTTGATGCACTGTTAAAAAAAGGTTTTCTGCCAGGTTTTGTATAGAAGGTGGGGCAGTCAGTTGGCGTTACTCCTCGTCTTGCCTTTTGCAGTCTGGATCATTAAAAGGTGCAATTTGTGCGGTGCTGTCACGTTTGGATGCGTTTAACAAGCGCGGACTGCAACATGTGCCGAAAACTTGCGCAAACACAGGGGTGGGGACATCTCCGAGCTTACCACGCAGAAGGACGACCTGCTAATTTGATTTCGTTGCTGATTGTTTATTCTAGATCAAACAGCCAGGATCATCTTGCACGATCACACGGAGATTGCAGCCAAGAGAAGCGCGTTTTGGAATTCGTCACAATGGCAATTAATCCTGAATGCTCTTCTGGCGTATTCTCAGAGCTTTCAGTTGTCGGAGTTGAAATGTGTGATATACCGGAAGGATCTTGCATAAACCTTATCCAGATTACACAGCAACGACGTAGGATTCTCCACTGTAGCGACATCACACCGTAAGTTCAGGTCAAAGCAGAATAATGGAAAACGTGAAGAGTTCACCCCCACGAGGTCAGTTATGAATAACAAGGACAGGCGGGGTCCGTGTGCAATCGCTATCGGCACGCTGCACTTAAATTGATTAGGTCGTATAAGTTACTACTACCCTGCCGTTAGATGACACTGAATATTATCATATATCCATCAAACTCAGAAATGGATATCCAATCACATATGCTAGCGGTATGTGTATAGGTAGTGAAATTCCAGATAGACGGCATCCAATAAGCCTACAACATCCAGGGATTGTGTCGATTTTGCGTGTGATATTAGTTGATTCATGGTGGGAAATCCGCGATTATCTTGTGAGACAATTTATTTACTCTGTATGGGCACTATGAGATCCTCAGTGATAATTGCTCCCATGAACTTGCTCATCAGCATTGTTGTTATTGCTAGGTAATTTGCTGTTTTTGCACGACTATCTCTCTTATAGTTTGAAGTGAAAACCCTGTGATTCCACAAGCAAAAAACAGCATGTCGTTATATATTTTGAAATAATATTACTGACGGTTCATATAACGCTCGTAGCTGCCTTCGACGTCTATTGCGTTCTACCCAGGTAGAAAGGTACTAGCGCAAATATGCCAACTTATTAGGTTAACAGCAATGGAATTAAATTGGCGGTTAGGCGCTAATGGTGGTACAATCTATGTAGGAAGGATGCTGGATGATAGTAAACTTCCGCTATTACGGCGGAAACCCTGTCCAGGAAGATTGTACACATCTTGTGCCGTTTGAGCCGGTCCGCATGGTGTGTTTGGAACAGACATTTCTAGCCTGAATATAGAAATTGGGTACACGTGTCTGTTACATTTATTACGGTTGAGCAAAACTTATATAACATGGTTGCGTTGCTAATACATGTTTCTGTACGAGTATGAGTAACATGTCCTCCGTTAGCTAAGCTACGTAGTCTTACCAAAAGAAGTATGTAAAAGCTGCGAATATCGGATTCATGACCCACAGGAACGGATTTCGCTTATTTGCGTGATGAATATCGATTACTACTGTGTATGCCACTCGCATGTTAAACTGCCAGCAAACTTATCCGGATAAATTAAGGGAATAATACATTCACGAAAAACTTCCTATTTGTGCTAACAATTTCAGACCGATTGCCTTAATCGGTCATGACGTGAGATACTTCGATATTAACTTACAGATATTCTGCGTGGCACATGTAGCGGATATAGTGCCATATGTTCAAGGAGGCACAAATAATTCCTTCTGTCAATACAACAATACTGAATTCTTCATTTGTGAACGATCAGCCCAAGTTGGTCGGTTGATTTCCTATTTTTAAACGCGATGTGGAAATGACATTTTTGTAAAGCGGTAAATCAGACATAAACTAATGCGGTTCTGCCGCAAATTTTTTATCCAAATTGGTTAGGGTTTTAGACTGTGCACCTTGCAATCCCCCAGCCGCGCAGCTTGGCTGTAAAAACGAACCAGCTGATTCCTCTTAGCGGAGGTCAGAATCTAGTGCAATTATAAGTTAGACAGTGGTGAGCGTTATACAGAATCCGCTTTATATATATTATCTTTCCTTGTGTGTAGGCGGCGCTATAACGAGTCCAAACCTGGATGCACTAGTCCTTAGGGTGGTCAGTGTGTAGAGTTGAATGGTAGTAAGAAATTATATCACCTCGTTTAGCAAGTCGGTTTTACACAAACCTAAAAGCAGGTGTTGAAATATCAGCTTTATTAATCAAGTCCTTAAACTAGGCTTTCGTTTTAATAATGAAGACTGCAACCATTGATGATTGCCAAGACCGAATCCTGATCAGTTTGTATGATAGACTTTGCTTTATGAATACAAATATTTCGAAGCTATAAATACCCGAAGATTATCTAAACACTAAGCTCCCTGATAACGTGCGCCAGGTCATGTAAAGTAGGCAGACAATCGTTTTCCGGATGAGTTGCTGACCAACAACCCGTGAAAGCTTTGGTAACTGCACAGAACAAACTGTACGTAACTCTGCATTAAGAGGTATTGGTAATTACCCTGCTATTTCGGGCAACTGAGCAGTTGGTATCCGTTGCAGGTGAAAGAGGTAGACAGTTCAACTTGCAAAGAGCTGCCGCTAGTCATGCGTCTGACTAGCAAAATATGGCTTGAATTTCACCAAATTTCCAAGTATTTTCCATGACAATTCGCGCGTCGTATTATGTGTCCGACCATTCATTAAACAGGTTGTTTGTAGTGAAGCGTCAGTTGCAGTACAGTAGGATCAAATCTTTTACCGTTTGGTGCAAAGCATTGCCGTTGCGTCTGCAGAATCACATGGAGAATCGCATGGGATATGTTATTACGGGGTTGGCAGAGTTCTGCCAAACTTGCACAAATTTCGCTTGGCTCACCTGAGACATACACTCAGCGTGCAGCGACTCAGATCGCGTTACCAACAACCGAGCCATCTACAACACCTAGAAATCTGATGACATGGAACCAACAGAGCTCTATTCAGGACAAATGTTTGTGTTATTACGCAGCAGTGAACACCTTGAACTAGCGTCATGACACTGAATTATCATTGTGTGACCGCGGTGAACCACCTGAGCTCATCAGTTGCTGCGGCAGTTATCACACAAACGCATAATGACTGACTGAGATTCCCTCAGGTCGTCCTCGATAGACGGCAAATCGTTTGCCTCGCAAACATCCACTTACTCTATAGTTTATGTCATAATATTAAGCAATATAATAAGGGTGTAAAAGGAATGTCGGGTATAGTTGATTTGGTTAAAAAATCTTGCCTTTAGCAAGGTTTCCTTCAGTTGCAGATCGCAATGCAGTTGTGCTACATTGTGAGTATTCGTCTAAAGTATGGCAGCTAGGTCTCGTTAGTCAGCACTCTCTGTGTAGAATGTTTGTACATTCCGAATAAGTATGTAAGAAATTGAGATGCATTTTAACGTGATCTCGCTCTTCCAAAAACTTATGAACGGAACGTACAAGCTGCACGACAAAGCGACATTCAGACATTATGAAAAACATGAACAAAGCTTTTACTACGTTTTCTCAATAATCGCGGAAAACACATGCTAAAATATCATTTTGCTCTTTTAGTTGAATAGTAAATTTGAGGCGTGCAATTACTCACTAGACTGCGAGCAGTTTGATTTGCATCCCACTCGGTCCAGATGTTCAGTGCATATACTGCAATAGTAAAAGCGATCAGGAGTAAGTGGGAAGCGTAAAATACTTGACACGCGGACAAAGGTAACAACACACTGGTTTTCTGGGTGAATCCGATGAGATTTTGTACAGGATTTCTATGTGTACATTGAGTGAACAATGCCTTTCAATGGACAAGCTGTTCAAGGAGGACCGAGGTAATACTAAACCTTGAGTGTTAATCTGTAATGAGGGACCTAGTGTGATTTTACTCTCACACTCCCTCACCTTTCCCATCAAACCGCCGCCTTCAAGGCATAACCAACCTGACTGAAAACGACCAATGATGATACCTGAGAATTGACAGCATACGGCGACAAAGTCCAAAATAACATATTCGCAAAACGTTTCTATTGCAACCCTATAAAATGTCAAACAATTGACTAACTTGCATTCATGAGCATGTTGCAACGTAAATATAATCCGTCACTTTGTAGATTAAGGTTTCTCGGCACCATGATGAATAAACAATAATACCAATATTATTATTGGTCTTATTGTTATTATTAACATAGGCATAACGATTTGAACCTGACAACTCGTGTGCAGCCCATGCGCTTGAAAAAGGGTCAGCTACTACGATTCAGCGCAATTTGATAAACTTGTATTCAAATACATCTACGTTTTCGTAAGGTTTCTGAAAAGCCCAAATTCCGTCATTATCACTGCTAAAATGCGAAATATTTGACAGAGAGTACTAGCAAATTAACCGTTCCATATTCACCATTAAAAGTTATGTAATGCTTCATTGAACTTTTCACCAATTCCAACTGCACATGTTGGAGGAGATATATTCTAACTTTGTGATTCTGCCATTAGTTATCGGTGCGATGCTTCTGCATCAGTTAGTTGCTTCCCAGCAAGATCTATACAAGGAATTTATGGTAATAAAATGCTTTTGCCTAATTTGCAAAAGCACTGCATCAATTCCAATGAAGATTATACAGTTACATATATGTCAGTAAATGTCGATGCTTGTGTTACAGAAATCAGCCGAGCACCATTTCAACAGAGAAGTAATGTTTGCAGCTGAGTCAAGCCATTTGTAATTAATCGACAATTACAGATATGGGAAAGCGAATATTAGTCAAAACATACCGAATGACCCTTGCAAGATATCATCATCTGGAATCAACAAGACATAAGAGCGAGGCTATGAGCACTATGCATATGCACGCTGAGGAATTCGCGGACAGAAATGGCATTGTGTGACATTGACATCAATCTGAAATGAAATATTTGTGTTTCATTATATAATTCTAGCGTAAGTACATGTGCAATTTACGCAATTTAAGGTGAACGGTTTCTATTTAATTCACAAAGACTATCGAATATAGATGTTGTACGAACTGAGCAGCCTCATATATGTAATTGCAACTTACATGCTTTAAATTTATCCTCAGCAATTGACAAAATCCCGCGTGAATTTCCACCTCCTATTAACAGCTTTCCATCTTTACCCAGCACGTTTGACACGTTGCAAACGCAGGTCAGTTCCTTTGTTCCGGGTTCATAAAACCACCAGTGGATTCCGCAGTTTTTCCCCGCAATATGGTGGAAATATGAAAGCTAAGTGATAATGTGATATAAATGTTTGTTAACAATGTTGCAAAATGCAGTTTCCATAAATAATAATGTAGCAGGAGCGAGGCTGTTAAGACATAAAAATGTATCGCGGAATTCTCTATTGACAAATTCCCTGAAAGTTTATCGAAATTAAGCATGCGAAGAAGACGACGTAAAGTATACGTAAAACGTGATGCATATGCGGACAACCTACATGAGCTCCACAGTATGACTCCACGCTTTCTCCAAGTGTGCGATTCAAATAATCAGTGTACGCCCACTCGTCCTTAGCAAGCGTAACTGAGAAGTCTGGAGTGAATGATGGAGAACGATTGTCCAACTTCAACGCAAATTCATTAAATATAATAAATTAAGCGAACTGTTTGTTTATAGTAGGCATCTGTGTTAATCACTTTATAAACTGACACTTTTCTGTTTCATCCTTAACACCAATAACTAGAAGTTACTTAAACACACGACCAAAACTGCTTTCTCGTTTAAGTTTCGTTAGGATTTAGCTTCACACGAAGATGTTTCCTGTAAGCTAATAGCATAGCCTTGACAAATGCTCACTCAGCACCTTACTTAATTGCTGCTTGGTATTTGTAGTCACCAGCTTGCTGCTGTTCACCCAAATGTCAAACATTGCAAAGTGCTTAGTTTCATGTTGTCTACCTAAAGTGAAAACAAACAGAATGTGGTGTATCGCCAACCTGCTTTGTGTGTTCAACGTGTGTCAAGTTAAATGTCTGCCGCCTAACCAGTTCAGAGAACCAGACTGTTTGTTTAGACAACAGTCCCACTTGATATCTGGTTCTAAACAGAACTAGGAACACGACGCACTATGGTGTCTAGCGAGCCATTGAGGAATAGCATCCGTGCCTGAAATAATGGTTACAAACGTATTTTGTTTACCGGACACAGTTAACCTTTGCTTGCTGTATGTGCTGATTTGAATGCGATGGAAAAAAGACGGCTAAAATATGACTCTTATGTCTCTGCACTGATTATGTTGCCGTCACACTTATTATGTGCATCGCTATGTTTGTACAAAATGCGATAAACTAGAGACGATGAGTGAGGTATGTTTACTTGGCAAATTTCACTTTTGTATTCGGTACCTATGGCTCTAAAAATCTGATCCCAGTGGCAGAACCAGGGTAGGAATAAAATCATACACTGTTAACTCTAAACTGAAAACAAGCATGCAACCAAACTCAAGCTACCCTATACGGCGACAACCTTATCTTTGTCAGTGTGTTATTACGAGATATAAACTGTGTAAGGCTAGCCATACCCGCACATCGGGACACATCGACTGCAACTAAACACGTCGCTCAGTACAATCCGTTGTCTACGTCTAAGAACGAAGAGCGAATTCCATATCTACATTTCTACAATTTCGCATGGTACCTATCGATGCAGCGAAATCTCAGACCCAGTTGCCTCTCAAGGCGGTTAATTTTAGACTGGCCTATAAGTCGATAACCATCACGTGTTGGAGTGTTTAAGCATCTGGCGCAACCAGAGTAATATATAAGTTGCTGAACAACAGTAAACGTTGCCACCGTATGTCTACTAATGTACGGGAATATCAAGTCCTCCAGCGTTGTGCGCACTGTACGGCACAGGAACTTGGTCCACTATGGAATAACAAGTCTTCTAGGAGTAATGTTGCAATAGGCGAACAATAGGATATGCGGTTATTTCGGCAGAAAACCATCTTCGGTTTGACTCATATGACAATTCGTAATTTCCTCATCGTTTCTTGGAGAGTGTATGCGAATCAAAGAAAACTCCGTTGAAGTTAGCGCTGTTGGCTCGGTGACCTAATCATGGCTTACGAAATATTAAACAACAATAATCGCCTGCCTTATCTACTGTTGAATGTAAGTCCCAAGAAACCACTAAGACCCAATGGGCATAAATTGGAAGAACAATGCAGGCGCTCGGAGTGCCGAAGTAACTTCTCGCCGCGTGTTTGCCACAGATGGGTAGCCTCTCAGCAGCTGTTATTTCAGCCTTCAAGTTAGCCATTCCCAAAGCACATGTCCATAAAGTTATATTACACCATATCACTTTTTCCAAACGACCAGTACATTTGCCAGCAGAAAAGTGGCAACCAACCAACCTTTTCACTTTTGCCTGGAAACCCTAGACAACAACTTTGAATAGCACACAAATAGGGTGGGGCTCTGTCAGCAGCAAATCGCCAATTTGTGGCTGTTCACTATTTCCTATTACTAGTTTTGTCTTTATTTTACTCATCTATAACCCATCATCCAGAAAATCATACCAAGCTTTGACTTTTTTATTATCCGCAGTAAATCAAAGACCATTTACCGATAATGGATGAGAAACGAGAAACTGACCTTTAATCGTGGCGACCCTGAGATACAAGCTACTGTTGAACATGAGGCTTAAGTCAATGTTTAATAACAGTGGACCTTAATTTGTCAAAAGCTTGCAATCACTAATGTGACCGTCAAACTGACCACAGACCTAACCTAGTCAATAAACCAAATATGATGTGAAGGCAAGATGATGTGTACTATGTCCAGTCAAAACACCTGGCAAAAGACGTACATGAAACTTGCCGCAAGTAACGTAAGAACCTCTCCTCAAAGATTCACATAATGGCGTTTAACACCAGGCATCAATTGGCCAAGAAAGAGTAAATCACCGCGGTCTATCAGTGGTTGCAGAATCTCTTATTTCCGGAACGGATTAATACGGAGCACTAACAATTGTTGAAGAAACATCAATGGTCTCGGCTTACTGGAAACGGAGCTTTATGCACTAGCATTCCATCAGCCAATAAAAGGCGGTGAAATGTTCAGTGCAGCATTTCACAGTACAACGACTATTTGCCTACCATAGAGTTGTTGGCAAAAGCTCATTACTGAAACTCGCACCAACAACTATGTTCCTGATATGGAAATCAGTTGCACGTAGTTAAAATAATATTCCGATCATCATTAGCCAAGTATTTGTGCCTCACTGTCTTCATGTACTTAGGTTGATGGACATGTTAATGATAACTAAAACCTGGTTGAAACATGAAATCAACTGTGAGAAATTCGCTCAGGCAGGCACGTCTGTTCTATGCAAAAATTGGCTAATTAGGAGGGTGGTGTAATCATATTCCATGGCAGTGACGTAAAACTCCAGTTACTTAAAGACACAGAAAATCTGTATTGGACTAAATTTGGTGTCGTCTAAAATAAGCCATTTGTATGCTCTTATATAACGACGTGACACTTCCACTCTAGAAGTATGTAGCCGTCTAGATTTTGCTGTGTGAAGCGGTCTGCTAGCCTAAAAATCTACATCTCTTTAGGCGACTTCAACTTGCAAGCGCTGGGTTTTCTGGAGTTAATTTATGCGCAGCTGGGAGCCGAGATGTAAGAACTAGATTTGGGTCTGCCAGTTCATACTCATATCAATACCCATATAAACGTAGAAATGGGGTACAAATGGTCCAGTCGTTTCTCGTATTTGCTAAAGGGAGCTAAATGTTGCCACCTTTGCAGTGCACAGCGCTTTGAATGTCAGTGATCATGTAAAGCTGCTTTTCGCTTCGTCCTTTTCTAAAACGCTGATGAAGTCATCGAAAATGTCTGCATGATTAGACACCCCAGCATTCCAGCCGAGTTATTTGTGGTCTTTGGTTATTTGTTTATAGCTGAAAAACGTCTGAAGCCGCTTCGTTGGATGCAGTTCGGCAACTCATGTAGCATGTTAGTAAGAAATGCATCATATATATTAACGACTTCGCCAAACACAGCAGGGTGTTCGACCACCAAATGCTGCAGTTTGACAAGTGCCGTCTTAGTAAGGATCAAGTAAATTCCTTAGACATCATTGTGTTTGTACTTTACAGCACCCCCTATTTCGAAACACCTTTACTACAAGGACTGAGCCACAAAATATTACTGGCAAAACTAGGATTAAGCGACTGATGATCTGACACGGTTATAGCTACCATGATGCACAGGGTGTTTGCTCAGAGACGCTAAAAGCAGCTGTTATTCGTCCAGCTGAAACAATAGTAATATTCTTTCAACTATGTCACAACGAGATGCAGGTCACAGGGATGTGGAAGCAGGGATCATCACCCAAGGCTACATAATTGAGAGCACTGCTGAACTAGCGAAGTATTAATTTATAGGGCTAAATACAGTGCCGATCAAGATCGGGGAAATCACTGTGGTGGATAAAAGAATAGAGTACCTGTAGAATATACAATTATTGCACCAGGAAAACACGCGTTTCCGACGACGAATCAAATAATACCCCTTGCAAGTTTGACAGATTCCCTCGCAACTGGGGTACGACTAGACGCTCTTTATCTGGATAGTTCTATGGCAATCATCATTGCGGCCCGCTGCATTCCACGTCGCATGCTTCTTATTTATTGAAGGGGCCATCCAGTTTTGTGTTTGATACGTTACTTTTTTCTCGATGTCATCTGAATAGGAGAGTAGCAACAATATATGCTAACCAATCGATTTCCAGTACGAGGTAATTTACGTGATGTTACTCGGACAAATCCTGTTATTGTCCTTCAAAATTCTGATCGTGGACGCTGTCTTCGAATTATTCCCCAGTTGCCGATGAACTGTATATTTTGCGTGCTATTACTCTGTTGCAAACTGATCTGTGTATGCTCCCGCTTGGTCCGCTCAGAACATGAAAAGTTTCAACCTCGCCAACTGCAATGCCCTGAGCAGACGCAAGCAAGGTACACACGTCAGCATGCTAAGGCCATATAGTCCCAGTCGCTTTTCCCATGAGTACGAAATTGGCGTGCTCGTGTAAGAAAAACTTTATAATTTATGGTAGACTGAAAAATCATCAAATAATACTACTCAGCATGTCGGCCTTCTGTGTAGTGTGCACGGAAAGTCCGCCACCTCCATCTTTGCGTATGTGCTTAGTGCATGCTGGATGTCGCATATATATCTAGCAATCGGAGCTTGGGAGCAATACGCTCGAGACTGCACAACGAAAGACAACGAAAAAGGTAAATAATTCTCCCCAATCCCTAACAAATCATGCCGAAAACACTGAGTTAAAAGCAGACGTTTTCAGCATCTGGGAGCGATCTCTTAATGGTGGATTGACTCCTTTAAACCTTAGCTATACTTGTCGCCTGCTTTTGAATCTTAGTCAGCCCCAAGCTTTAACTTAGCATCTGTGAAATTTGGCCGCTCAACTGAGCGGAATAAAGATTAGGCGAAACGTTTTCCGCCCCTGATGTTCGCAGTCTATGAACTCACTTCCAGTGAATGTAATTATTGTCCCAACCGCATCGGAAACCGACTTGCCGATACACTGACATATTTACCCTACTTGATATAATTATTGGTGTCAGAAGATGGCACTAATGCGGAACCGACATTGTGAGTTTGTGACACATCTCCTATGCTATGCAGGAATAATCACAAATATGCTCATGCGAATACCTGTCCTGTAATTAGTGAATACCACATACTGAATTCTATATTGTCGAGGCAAGTAGAAATTTGAATCTATACAACTCAATCTAGTTGGGGTAAAATAGGCACATTGAGTAAATATACTTGGATTCGTTAAACCATTGATTACTATTCACGCTATCAAGTTAAATGGTTTAAAACGTTGTTTAACGCCGTCGATTAGGACTACAAAATGTGATAACTTTATAGGTAAGCGCTCTCGGAATCTAACATATGAAAACATCACATCCGTTGCCCGTTTGAGGTGCTGCACTGGATTTGCTACCATTACATGTTCTAGCAAACGTCTCCATATATGACGCTCGCCATTCTTAGCACAATTTAACGGAACTCACTCCATTTCTAAAACCAGAAGCTTGCACGTTTGTCCGCGTATCCTACAAGGCTTTTGGAAGTGGAGCAATAGAACTAGCATGGGACAGTCCCCAACGTGTACAATTCGCTTTGTTCTGAATATGTCGGTGCGTTAACAACGATATACTGGCTTGTATATTTCCATTCTCTCCCTCTGTCTTCCTACCTTAAGCATTGAAATCTGACACTGAGCCTAGCAGCGACAAGTTAAACCAAATCAACGATTTACGCCGCGCCGCAAATGATTATAATAATAATAATAATAGGTATATTTCTCAGAAAGGTGAGACACGTTCCAGAGGCCCTGGACCGATCATTATGTACAAGTTTTCTCTGAAGCTGAAATTGTTTATCGGATGCGAGGAGATTCGTATTGAGTGGGATTGGATTCAAGTTGTAATTTATTCTTATGCAGCTCCAACTTTCTTCGGTAGCAAGTATCTCATCGTACCGTTGAACGAGTCGTGGTCCGGATCAACGTAAATAGAAGGGAAATAGCAAGTATTAGTAAGTATTAGTGCGATGGAGGTCGAAAACTTCCTAGGGAATTATGTACATGTGTGGAATCGAGAATAATATAGTGTGGGGAGGGTCTCGCAACCAAATTTCTGGACACAGCATAAGGAATAGCAGTATGGGTCTGGCTAACAGGGAAAAATAAGTCCACATTACTGCACAGTGAAAAAGGGAAATATTTAAGCAACTACCTTATTATTGTATTGCAGATGTTGTTTACAATTAGGAGGCGCAATACGGATTTCGGATTACTTAAGATGTGTGGGTTGTGGGCTGTGAACAAGAATGCCGAACCTTTAGTAGTTTTGCTAACTGCGCTAGGAGTTTGATTATGCAGGGAATTGGTCCAACAGAACGCCAGTGATATGTTTACGAGGTTACAGTAGTCCTGAGTGGCAAACATATTTATGTTGACAATGTGTCGGTTGATTCACCAGCAAGATATGGTCAAGTGAAAACCGAAGCTAAGTGTTGGGGAGCAAGGTGGGTTAAAGATGTAAAGAAAGGATCCGGGTGCTTTACCTACCAAAGCGTCAGTGCTTTCACAAACGAATGGTAGGTGCGCCAGCGGGTGAAACGGAAGTGAAGTTACGATTGGAGAGATAGTTAACCGGAACTTGGGAGTCCAGCTAACCAAGTTGCCAGTGATTCAACTGACACATGGTTGCAGTGGAGCCAAGTAAAATCAAGGGGAAGTATAGTGAGCCAAGATGGGATGAAGAGGATAACAGAAGCCTGGACCTCCAACTCATCGATGTATCAGTGGAGCCACTAATCAGCGGTGAGCTTTCGGGCAGGCAGATCCGGAGTGGGCAATAAAAGAGAAGGGTAAGCAGGGAATCAACGGGTGTTTGTTGATCTGACTGATAAGGTCAATTGCAACTTTCAGTTATATGTTGTCTGGACCTTGTTCATACGTTTGTTGAATAGTTGTGGGGCAGCGCAGGAGCATAATCACATTGTTGACTGTAAGATATTCGTCAAGCTTTCTACGAAAGTTATACTCAGATGTGCTAGTACGAATATCGGTCGGCAATTTGTTCC